TTGCTCTGTTGCCCAGGCTGAAGTGCAGTGGCATGATCTCGGCTCACTGCAAGCTCAGCCTGTGGGTTCAAGTGTTTCTCCTGCCTCAGCCTCCTGAGTAGCTGGGAATACAGGCGCCTGCCACCGTGCCCAACTCATTTTTGTATTTTTAGTAGAGACAGGGTTTTACCATGTTGGCCAGGATGGTCTTGATCTCTTGACCTCGTGATCTGCCCACCTCGGCCTCCCAAAGTGCTAGGATTACAGGCGTGAGCTACCACGCCCGGCCCTTTTGCTAATTTTTAATTTGCCAATTTCTTTTCTTTTTCCTTTCCTTTTCCCATCCCCTTCCCCTTCCCCTTTCCCTTTCCCTTTCCCTTTCCTTTCCGAGATGGAGTCGCGATCTTGGCTCACTTCAGCCTTTGCTTTCCGGGTTCAAGAGAGTCTTCTGCCTCAGCCTCCCAAGTAGCTGGGACTGCAGGCGCATGCCACCACGCCCAGCTACTTTTTGTATTTTTAGTAGAGATGGGGTTTCACCGTGGTTGGCCAGGCTGGTCTTGAACTCCTGACCTCAGGTGATCTGCCTGCCTCAGCCTCCCAAAGTGCTGGGATTACAGGTGTGAACCACCGTGCCCAGCCTTATTTGCCAATTTCTAGGCACTTCTTATGTATTAGGAAGTTTACCCTATGTGATATGAGTTATCACAATAGGAGGAAAAAGGCTTCCTGGGGTCTCTGCAGGTTTTTAATTTTCCCCAGATTTGGGGTATTCTTTTTGTATTTTAAATTTTAACTTGTGTTTGTTGTCATGAGGAGTCTTGGTTTGTGTATGGTTAAATTTATCACTGTTTCCTTGATGGCTTTTGCGTTATCCTGGTTCACTATTAATGGCACACAATCATTCATTCCTTTTTCCATGGTGCCTCCTTCCTCTTTTCCTCTTTCAATTTCGGATTGACAGCAAAACACTTTTGGTATCTTCCCCCAGGTTTGCTTTCCTGGAAATGTATTTCTCGTCAGTGATAGGGTAGCCCTTGATAGTTTTGTTAGGAGATTTTAGTGGTCTGTAGAATTCCCATTTTCTTGGTACAGGCACTCTGGGAAACTGACAGTTTCTTATACAACTAAACATGAAATTACCATATGACCCAGCAGTCGCATTCTTGGGCATTTATCCCAGAGAAATGAAAACTTCTGTTTACACAAAAACCTGTACATGACAGCTCACAGCAGACTTGCTTGTAATAGCCCCAAACTGGAAACAACCCAGATGTCCTCCAGTGGGTGAATGGTGAAACAAACTCTGATACATGTATACCATGGAATACTACTCAGAATTGAAAAAAGAATTAACCGTTGATATATCAACAACATAGACAAATCTCTAAAGTTTTATGTTGGGCAAATAAAAAGATCCAATCCCAAAAGCTTACATGATGTATTATTTCATTTATATAACACTTTTGAAAGGACAAAATGTTAGAAATGGTGAACGGATTAATGGTTAACAGTGTTTTAAAGATGGAAAGGGGTATGAGAGGAAGAGTTGGGGTAGGTCTAGTTATAAAAGCAGCACAAGAAATCTTTGTGGTGATGGAACTTTTCAGCATCTGACCATAGTGGTGAATACATGAACCTGCGTATGGGGAAAAGTTGTACAGAACTAAATACAGACACAAATGAGTGCAAATAAAATGAGGAAATCTGGGCCGGGCACAGTGGCTCATGCCTGTAATCCCAGCACTTTGGAAGGCTGAGGCAGGCGGATCACCTTAGGTCAGGAGTCTGAGATCAGCCTGGCCAACATGGTGAAACCCTGTCTCTACTAAAAAATACAAAAATTAGGCAGGAATGGTGGCACATGCCTGTAATCCTAGCTACTCAGGAGCCTGAGGCGTGAAAATTGCTTGAACAAGGTTGCAGTGAGCTGAGGAGATCATTCCACTGTGCTCCAAACTGGAAGACAGAGCGAGACCGTGTCTCAAAAAAAAAAAGGAAATCTGCCCAGGTGCAGCAGCGTACTCTGGTAGTCCCAGCTACTTGGGAGGCCGAGGTGGGAGGATCTCTTGAGCTCAGGAGTTTGAGGCCAGCCTCAGCAACAAAGGGAGATACCATCTCTAAACCAAAAAAGGGAGGGATGGGTAGGAAATCTGAATAAGATCAGATTATATATATGGATTATATCTATGTCAATATCCTGGTTGTGATATTGTACCATAGTTTTACAAGATGTTACCATTGAGGGAAATTGGGTAAAGGGGGCACGGGATCTTGTACATAGGATCTCAATAAAAATTTCAATTAAAAAGTCCCAATTTCTGCTAATACTGGATTCACCAAAACATACTGCCTGGAAGCAGGTTCAGTTCAAGTAACTGGTGCTCTCCTGTGTTAGGACTTGCAGTGCAGCAGCTGAGCAGTGGAATGTGGAGGAGCCTAGCGGTGCCTTGGGTTCCAGCCCTGTACTCTGCTCTGTCTCAGAAGATCTGAGAGCATCGACCAGCATTTCCCAGGATTCTCTGGGACAGCCCCGCTGGGTAGCCCTTCGTACAGCCTGTCTGGAGGGAAAGAATACTGGCTTCAGCTCTAATATATCAGAACAGTGTGGGGTGGATGTTGGTGGTTGGGGACAGTGGGGAAGGGTTCCCAAGATGAGCTTTGGCCAGGTGCGGTGGCTCACACTGAGGCAGGAGGATCGCTTGAGCCCAGAAGTTTGAGACCAACCTGGGCAGCAAAACCCCATCTCTACTAAAAATACAAAAACTAGCTGGGTGTGGTAACAAGTGCCTGTGGTCTCAGCTACTCTGGAGGCTGAGGTAGGAAGGCTTGAGTCCAGGAGGTCAAGGTTGCAGTGAACTGAGATCGCGCCACCGCACTCCAGATGGGCAACAGAGCAAGACTCTGTCTCAAAAAAAAAAAAAAAGCTTTGCTGTGCCCTGCACGTGACCTACTGTCATATGTATTCTGTGTTCCTTATGCTGTAGCATTGGCTCTGCTATGAGACAGAGTGGCCTGGCATATGGTAGGGGGATCACTGGGATCCCCAAGACCCTGCTAGGGAATCTCTGAAGTCAAAACTATTTTTGTAATAATACTTAGACATTATTTGCAAATCATGCTCATTCTCTTACACAAGTGTCCAGTGGAGTTTTCCAGAGGCTCAATGATGTGAAATGGCAACAGATTAAATGCAGAAGCAGCTATGAGATTCCAGCTGTTTTCTATTAAGGCAGACATTAAAAAGACATTTTAAAAAATAAACCAGTGCCATCATTTCACTTTTTTGTTTTGGAAGAATATTTTCCTTAAAATGTTATTTTTGTTAATGTATAAAGGGGTTATCATTATATTTAAATGATATAATATTTAAGAATGTTCTCCATTTTAATTTTTATAGGTGAATATCAAAAGATATAACTCACATAAAAGCTCTTTGGGGTCCTTGGTAATTTTTGAGAGTGTAGGGGTTCTGATAATTCAGAATTGTTTCTTTGGCAGAAAGCAATAGGCTTAATTTCTAGACTGGGCTTTGCTTTGTGAATGTGGGCATCATTTGGCCTCTTCAATTGATTTCTTCTCCTGAAAATGCTATTAATTGCCCTGCTACATACCTATGAAAATATAATCCTCTATGCAAATATAGGGGAGATTAATGGCTACATGGCTAAACTGGTGTTGAAAGAAAACGTAAAGAATGAGTTTCTGGCCTGTTAGCTGACAGTCTGTTTACTTGTTAAATGTCTTCATTTTAGCATCTCCTAGCAGTTTCTGTATACATTTGATTTCTTTTTCTCAGTTTTTCAGAAAACCATTTTAATTATTTTAAAAAATTATATTCCATTTTCTTTTCTTTCTTTTTTTTTTTGAGACAGAGTCTTGCTCTGCTGCACAGGCGAATCTGCCCTCTGCAACTCCACCTCCCCGGTTCACGCCATTCTCCTGCCTCAGCCTCCTGTGTAGCTGGGACTACAGGCGCCCGCCACCGCGCCCGGCTAATTTTTGTGTTTTTAGTAGAGATGAGTTTCCTGTGTTAGGATGGTCTTGATCTCCTGACCTCGTGATCCGCGTGTCTGGCCCCAGTGCCAGGATTACAGGCGTGAGCCACCGCGCCCAGCCCATTTTCAGTGTGCAGGATTTATATTCCTGAGTACCTTGAAGTGAGGTGATAGGTCGGAGCTCTGTTCTTGGGAAAACCACTCCTTATTATCTGCGACTTTTGGAAAGTTACTTAACTACTCTCGTGCTTCCTCTGTGTAAATGGAGCTAAGTACACCTCTCACTTTCCAGGGCAGTTGTGAATATGAAAAATAGTGCAGGAAACAGTTAGCAAAGTGCTTGGCACATAACAGATGTACCTTCATAAATAATAATTACAGCGATTGTCATTAACATATAGCAAAAGATGCAGAAGATTCAAGTAAGTCTTACTCTGTCTTCAGTAGACATTAAACTACTTTATTCACAAGTTTGTTAGCAGTCATTTTAATTTAATTTCTACCATTTTTCTCCTTTGTTTCACTGTGTTAGGATGGTCTTGATCTCCTGACCTCGTGATCCGCGTGTCTCGGCCCCCCGAAGTGCTGGGATTACAGGCGTGAGCCACCGCGCCCAGCCCACATTTTCAATTAATACAGGATTTATATTCCTAGTACCTTGAAGTGAGGTGATAAGGTCAGGAGCTCTGTTCTTGGAGAAACCACTCACTAGCTATGCGACTTTTGGAAAGTTACTTAACTTCTCTGCGTCTTGGCTTCCTCCTGTGTAAATGGAGCTAAAATTACCTCACTTTCCAGGGCAGTTGTGAATATGAAAAATAGTGCACAGGAAGCAGTTAGCAAAAGTGCTTGGCACATAACAGATGCTTCATAAATAATAATTGCAACGATTGTCATTAACATATAGCAAAAGATGGAAGATTAAATTGAAGTCTTACTCTGTCTTCAGTGAACTTATTAAACTACTTTATTCACAAGTTTGTTAGCAGTCATTTTAATTTAATTTCATTTTTTTCTCCTTTGAAGGGCTATTGAGTGGCCAGACTTCCCCAACAAATGCCAAATTGGAGAAACTGGACTCTCAGCAGGTGTTGCAACTCTGCCTCCGATATCAAGATCACCTGCATCAGTGTGCAGAGGCTGTTGCTTTTGACCAGAATGCTTTGGTTAAACGTATCAAAGAGGTAATGTGCTCCGAGAAAATAACATTACTGACTGGTTATTATGATTCTCTGCAACTCTGGATGCCGTCTTAAAACTTGACATTTGTCACTATTGCTTTGAGGAGATTGCTTTTTCCTAGCAGTAAAATGTGATGATGAAAATAGTGGTCCACAGAGCTGGGCTAATTTAGAGTTTGAATTGTGATCACCACCGATTTGCTTGGCCAAGCTGCTTAACTTCTTTCTCTTTGTCTCAGTTTCCTCATGTGAAAAATGGGGCTAATAGTAGTAACTTACCCTAAGGGTTGAGTGACAGATTGCTCAGTAAGTGTTAGCTATTATTAGTTTGTGTAAAGTCTTGTCATACTAATTTGCTCTAGCCACCATTCTATCTTTGAATTGACTGTAATCGTTTCCTGTGTGTAATTTATATTTTGTTTCCCAGTACATTATAATTTCTTTCAAAGCAGGAGTCTTGATACGAAAAGCTCCAGTGATTCTTAATGGTTTTATGGAAACAATTACGCCTATTTAACCCGCAAAGTTTTTAAAGGAAACAAGCAATGTAATTCATGTGAAAGTACTTAGTAAACTGAAGAGCATGCTGCAAATGTTGTATAATTATCAATCGCAGTAAATAGGTACTTCCTTTAAGCACTTAAATGTATCATTGACCAGCTGCTGCATAGCACAGTTCTAGGGGCACAAAGGAATAAGTGAATACATTTTCCAAAGTTTTCAGTCAAGAAAAGCTTTATATTTCTGACACCTCGATGTACTGTAATATCAAGGAAATGTTAGGAGCTGTTTATTGGAGAAACCACTTACGTGAATGGCACTCCCAGATTTGTTTAACAACATGGCCCTTTAACTCTGGTGAGAGAAGATGATGGACATGGAGAAACAAGCGATGGGGCAAGAATCACTGCAGATTAACGATTTTTATTTAGCAATGGAGGTAGTACATCCTTGAGACTACAAAGTAATCATTAGTTGTATTGACAGATTTAAATTTGCCAACGTCTCCAACATTTTAGTACTTAGCTTTCATAAAATGTTGCATGCATATACTTTTCTCTCATGGGTTAAATGCTATTATTTGGAAAACTATTAAACATGACCTTTGATATTGCTTTTCATTGATGTGGCTTTGCAGATATTATAAACTTATTTTACTATATTATGGTCTACCAAGCTTTAATTTCCAAACATGACTGTTCATTGGCATCATGTGGGTTTTTTGTTTGTTTTAATACTTAGTTCTCCCCTCCTCCCAGTATGTCTAGGTGTGGTCTGTGAATCATCATTATTTTAGTAAGATAATATGGTTTGGCTGTCCCCACCCAAATCTCCTCTTGAATTGTAGCTTCCGTAATTCCCACATGTCATGGGAGGGACCCAGTGGGAGGTAACTGAATCTTGTGGGAGGCTCTTTCCCATGCTGTTCTCATGATAGTGAATAAGTCTTACGAGATCTGATGGTTTTATAAAGGGGAGTTCCCCTACACAAGCTCTCTTGCCTGTCGCCATGTAAGATGTGACTTTGCTCTTTCTTCACCTTCCACCATGATTGTGACGCCTCCCAAGCCATGTGGAACTGTGAGTCAATTAAACCCTCTTTCCTTTATAAATTACCCAGTCTTCTGTATGTCTTTATGGGCAACATGAGAACAGACTAATACATGATACTGTATTAGTATCATGTATCATTACCAAATGATACTGATGCCACCCTCTGTTAGCTGGGATGTGGGAACCAGTGGTCTTAAGCACTATTTCTAAAATAAGTTCTACAAAACTAGTCCCATGTAAAGAAGGTCAAACGTTTTGCATATTCCCTCACCACCGCTTGTAAAATCACAAAGCATATTATTTCACTTAAAGTTCTTAGGAGTCTCGCAGTAAGAAAGCCAGACTTTTGAAACTTATTTGACCTCAGAACACTTATCTTAGGGAACATCTATTAACGTCCCATAAAGTAGTGATTTTAGAACATTCTTTGGGAAATACTATTGTAGATGTAAGACTTTACCTTTTTAATTTTTTTAGAGACAGAGTCTCATACTGTCGCCGAGGCTGGTGTTTAGTGATACATTCATAGCTCACTGCATCCTTGAACTGCTGGGCAGAAGCGATTCTCCAACCTCAGTTTCCTGACTAGCTTAGGACTACAGGTGTATGCCATCATGCCTGGCTATGTTGTCCAGGATATTTTCAAACTCCTGAGCTCAAGCGATCCTCCTGCCTCAGCCTCCCAAAGCACTGGGATTACAGGTGTGAGCCACTGCCCCCAGCCAGACTTTACCATTTTTTACTGTTGTGCTAGAAGTTAATTAACTATGACATTAATGCTCAGAGAGGAGATCTTAGAATAATAATAAATTGGCTTTTTGGTGCTTATTCTTTTTAAAAAGTCCTCTGAGTTCAAGACCAGCCTGGCCAACTTTGTGAAACACTGTCTCTACTAAAAATACAAAAATTCGCCAGGTGTGGTGGTACGTGCCAGTAGTCCCAGCTACTTGGGAGGCTGAGGCACAAGAATCACTTGAACCCGGAAAGTGGAGGTTACAGTGAGCCCAGATCGTGTCACTGCACTTCAACCAGGATGACAGAGCCAGATTTCATCTCAAAAAAACAAAACAACAACAACAACAAAAACCCTCTAATCCATATCTGTTGCTTTGCAGTTTAGCAAAGTATAGTACAGAGAGATTAACTGACTAGTTGTATATCACAGAGCTGGGGAAAGTGTTTTGTAGCTGGAAATACCAGACAGAGCTTCTATTATACCACATTTTCAAGACTTGAGAGCAGTGTTTCTCAGCCCTGGCTACATGTTAAAATTACTCGGAAATTTTTCCCTCCCATATATGTGAGGGGAAATTTTACACATATACTGAAGAAGACAGAGTAACACAGTGAACCTTCATGTACTCATTACCAGCCACTACTACAATCATCAACTTGCAAATACTCCTGTTTCATCCGTATTCCTACTCCCTGCCACCCCCAACTGTATATTTTATAGTAAATCCCCAGACATGATTTCATTCATAAATATTTAAGTATATATCTTTGGAAGTGAAGGATTCTTTTTAAAAATAACTTTTAAATTTGAATTAATTTTAGACTTAAGTCACAGAAATAATTTGAGAGTGCCTATATACCCTGCCCCATGCAGCTTGCCCTAAAGTTAACACTTTACATAAGCTTCGTACAGTGACCACCAGGAAATTACTAACAATTAAATGGAGACCTTATTTTGAATTTTACCAGTAATTCCACAAATGAATGACTCAGTCCTTTTGAAAAATATAGTCACAATGCTGTATACCTAAAATATTTAACAATGATACCTTAATTCATTCAGTATAGCTGAGGTGCTGTTAAGAAAAGACTGATGTCTGGGTCTCACTCCAAACAGATTAGATCAAAATCTTTGAAGGGTGATAGGGTTGGGGCGGTGGGATGTTGGGTATTGTTATTTATGAAGGTGCAGTAGGTGATTCTAATATGTAACCAGGTGAGAACCAGTGTTTTGGAGCATTCATTTAAAAATAAACTGAGTTTGGCAGGCGACATGGCTCATGCCTATAATCCCAGCACTTTGGGAGGCCAAGGCAGGCGGATCGCTTGAGCCCAGGAGTTCAAGACCAGCCTGGGCAACATGGTGAAACCTCATCTCTACAAAAAAGACCAAAAAAAAAAAAAAAAAAAAATTTCCAGGCATAGAGGTGTGTGCCTGTATTCCCAGCTACTTGGGAGGTGAGAAGAGGTTCCGATAAGCTGAGATCTCCACTCCAGCCTGGGCGACAGAGCAAGACCCTGTCTCAAAAAATAAACAGTTTGAAATTCTGTTTGAAGAAGTTTGGGATTCACTTTGAATAGTCAGTAGTTACCCAGGACTATTGCAAAACAGAGACCAGCACTCACAGTACTGAGCAATAGCCAGCAGGGCGCTCGGGCAGAGGAGGTGAGCACAGTTTTGGGGCTTTCATTGGTGGTGTAATGTGTCCGTTGCATATCTGGTGGTGAGTATTAGCAAAGTCCTGAATCATATCCATCCGTCTATGTTCACTTCAGACCTAAGGGTTGAAATTAGTCACTTCCAAATGAGTAAAGCAGAGGATGTCGTTTTGATCAAACACCAACTCTCTGATATTATTCCAGATGTTTCCTGGAAATTTGGTTGGAAAGGTGAGGAAGTAACATAATACTATGTGTTGAAAAGTGAGGGAACTTAATAACCATGGAGAATGTCTGTTAGTGGAAGTATAGAACCGGGACCACCTAGAGGTCCCTAAGATGACAGTACCTGTGATCACTTAAGTCTGCATCAGAGGGAAACATGGCTATAACTATTTCTGATTCAGATAAAAGAAAATCAGAGAGTTGGCTAAGCTTTCCTTATGTTAAATTTGGATGATGCTCTTGAATGAAAAGTTTATGTTTACAGACTTGTGTATGTGAGGGAGAAGAAGGGAGGTAATTTACTTTACAATCAGGGAGTCTAGTGACGTACCTTGACTACTGGTTTCTTTAACGGCGATAGGATGGCCCCTCAGCCAGCACTGTTGAGCAGCTATTGCAGACCCACCTAGTGGGAGGTCCTTTGGGGGTTCCAGAGACATGTAACCTGGTCCCTGCTCTTTGAGAGTTTAGCCTCGATGAGGGAATGAAGATACACAGAACAGAAGTATGAAAAAGGCACTGTTGAAGGGGGTGCTCGTTTGTGATTTATAACTAAAGTTCTGTAAGAGTTAATGATCAGGATATCCTGGAGCAGACGGGGTTTAAGCTAGGTATTTGGGGAAAAAAAACCCAGGAGTTGGGAAATGAGAGGCAGAGGGGGGCATTGTGCAGGCTAACAGCTTGGCAGTCTTAGAAGAAAATTAACTTCGGGGCTTCAGGGACAGTGAAGAAACTGGCCGGAGTTTCGGTGAGCTTGCTCAGAGAAATCTCTGCATTCGGAACCACAGAAGGTTGGAATTGGAAGGACCTTAGAGACCCTCTGGTCCAGT